AAGTATTCAAATGATACTGAGTGATGCAAACAGTTGTTTATTTCGAATATTTTTCCAATTGCAGTAACCAAGCGATTGCCGATTATTTAGGCAGTAATGGATACTCAGAATCATTGGAAGCTTTCCGTAAAGAAGCCGATCTCAGTGGTGAAACTGAAAAGAAGTTTGGTGGTCTGCTAGAAAAGAAGTGGACCTCGGTTATACGTTTACAAAAGAAAGTATTGGACCTTGAGGCTAAACTTGCAGAAACTCAAAAAGAGGTTATAGAGGGTGCTCCGACAAAAGTAGATCGTAAACCTGGCGAATGGATACCCAGACCACCTGAAAAGTTTTCATTATCAGGTCATCGTGCCAGCATAACACGAGTAAGTATCTCTCTATATAGAAAACAAATATTAATGATTGAAAATTAATAACTTGACGGTTATTTTAGGTTATATTTCATCCAATATTCAGTCTAATGGTATCGGCATCAGAAGATGCAGTCATTAAAATATGGGATTTTGAAACAGGAGAATATGAACGCAGTCTTAAGGGTCACACAAATTCCGTGCAGGATATAGCATTTGATGCTCAAGGAAAACTGCTAGGTATGATGCTACTCTCCCAATAATGATTTCTTTTGGGTAATACTTATTTTTTGTATTCCATATACAGCATCGTGCAGCGCTGACTTGTCTATCAAATTATGGGATTTCCAGCAGAGTTATGAATGTGTCAAAACAATGCATGGACATGATCACAATGTATCGTCTGTAGCTTTTGTGCCAGCCGGTGATTACGTGCTTTCAGCGTCACGTGACAGAACAATTAAAATGTGGGAAGTTGCCACTGGGTGAGTGTCGAATATACAAACTTGTGTGAGCAAATTTATGTATTGTTTTACTTGACTACATTTTCTAAAATTGCAGATATTGTGTCAAAACTTTTGTTGGCCACCGAGAGTGGGTACGTATGGTACGTGTACACATGGAAGGTAACTTGTTTGCATCATGCTCAATTGATCACACAGTTCGTGTTTGGTCGTTAAATTCAAAAGACTGCAAAGTAAGTTTAAATACAAAAATATCTTTCTCTTTTTGGATTGTAATTTAAAAATTTGAAAATTTTTAATAAAAGGTTGAGTTACGCGACCATGATCACACAGTTGAGTGTATTGCTTGGGCACCAGAGGCTGCTTCTTCTGCAATTAATGAAGCTGCAGGAGCAGATAACAAAAAAGGTCACCATCAAGGTCCATTCTTAGCATCTGGATCAAGGGACAAAACCATTCGCGTAAGTTAATATTATTATATTTATAATTCAATCTAAATTCCTATAGAGGAATCAAATGCAAAAGCAATTAAGCTATAAAATAATTGAAACATCAATGATAAGTGGTTAATATTTCATAATATGTAGTATGTGTGTTAATTAATTCTTTTTTTATTCGATTAGTTCTAATTTATTATTGACATATTTTTATTCCATACAATTTATATATACATGCAGGGGCTTAAAAAAATATTTTGCCTCAATAGAAATTTGACAAAATTCTTGTGATTACAATTTTTGGAGTTGGTATAGATTTTAGCTGGTATCTTGAAGAGCAAAAGGGCTTGCAAAAGTAGGATCAAAATTCATCCACACACTTATTCCATTGTAATTCATTTGACTTCTTTAATATGTTGGCTTTTAATCGCATATATCGGAATTTTGTCAAGTTTGTATAGGAGCAAAATATATATTATTACACATCGAACGAATATTATTATGTGAACTAATTAATGTCCGGGTAGCTCATATTTTTACTATACTTTTTAAAACAATTTATTTACATGTATGATGTGACGCGTCACATTTTTTGGTTGTTGTAAAAATACATTTTATGAATGACGTTATGTTTTCTTTATTTCAGGTCTGGGACGTGAGTGTTGGAATATGCTTATTTGTACTCACTGGACATGACAACTGGGTGCGAGAATTGGCTTTCCATCCCGGCGGCAAATATTTAATATCAGCCAGTGACGACAAAACTATACGAATTTGGGATTTACGCAACAAACGATGCACGAAAACTCTTACCGCGCATCAACATTTCTGCACTTCAGTTGGTATGTGCTTTTGAATTGATTTCTGCTAGTCAAATCGTTTTCTATACATAATTTTATTTTTTTCTCACAGATTTCCACAAAACACATCCATATGTCATTTCGGGTAGCGTAGATACAACGGTTAAGGTTTGGGAATGTCGTTAAGCCAATAGTAATTAATGATAATAAAAAGGTTAGGCGATAGGGACACATAATTTGGCATTGGTCTGTTTTGTGTGCTCCCTTGTCAGGAGATGAAAATAAAATAATATATATTGTTTAAGAGCTACAATTTACTTCAATTAATGCAGATAAAATACACACACACAACCTATACATAAATATATATTTATTGATTATAATTTAATATCGAAAAACAAAACAATTCAAGAATCTTGTGATTCATCTCTATATAATATAGATTACCAACTAAAATTACGTTTAAACAAAAAAAAATCAACTACAACCAACCAAGATATGGCAAACGCAATTGCTTGAAAGTGCAAAATTCTCACATTTTTTTTTTCTTTAGGCGTAATCGTGATTCGTGAGTCCAAATGATAGTTTGCCTGCCAATGCCTGTTAGAACCAAGTTTTAGAATATACTGCAATTCTCGACATTTTCCGAAAAAGAAAGTGCAAGGTATAGGCAGACTTGTTTTCAAATCTATTTCTCTTATATTGTAAGTATTGAGTAGAACTCAAATCGAATGTTATGTGTACTACGCCTTTTAATTGTAATTGTAAACAACACACACACTTTAAGTTTTCGCTTGCTGGATTATTATTTTTAATTATTATTTCTATATATATAAATAAACACATACAATCATTATTAGAATTATGATTTTATACAAAATGAAAAAAGAAAATAAAACTTAATGAAAATGTGTCTCTATAAATTCAAGTTCAAGTAGAAATTTTAAGTTAATCTTAATTTGTACTTTAAATAGTAGGGCTTTTTTAATTAAGGCGAGTTATATTTACATTACTCATAGAGAGTTAATAATTAACAACAACAACAAAAATGAAGAGGAGAAAAACCAGACCTTGTGTAAACGACAACTGATGATACATATATTATAAGACCCCGATATACATGTGTGTTGTGTTTTTCTTCCCAAATCTAATAACATTTCAATTCAACCACCTCCAAGTATCGAAACTCCACAGCCAACGCCGCCAGTCAACATGAGGAAAACATTGAAGTCCGTTCCATGTAATTGAAGTTTGGATCATACAAAATGTGCTCAACGACGACTAAGTGAATACAAATTTGTTTTATTTTTTTATATACAGTTGTAATAACACAGCGTGTCAAAAGAATGACATACTACATCCAATACATATTGTATAGATTTTTTATTTGCCAACGAATTCTGTTCATTTATTTTTTTAAAGTTTAATTTTTTTAAGCACTCCCACAATTATTAACAGTCAGATAAAGACAACAAAACCCAATTATATATGCACTATCTCGAAATTGTATTGAAATTCAAACTTGTATTTACTAAAGTTACACATGTTCGAAATACATGAAATATATCGTGTGAAAGTAAAAGCAAAAACAGTATCAACAACAAATTTGGGAAAATATAAAAATACTTGGCTAAACAAAATCCAAAACAACTTGTTTTACTGCTATAAACAGACACATTTTCAACATTTCATTATTTTCATCACCGCCGTCAATAATGTAATAATATTTGTCCAAATTATAAGTTCTCTGAAACCCAGAATATTTAGTAGCTGCTTTTCTTTCTTTGCAACATTTTGTTATTGTTAAAATATATGAAGAAAAACTAAACAAGTATATAAATCTAAAGTGGAGAACACTCTGCTGCTGCACATACATATATCATTGAAATGCTTAAAAAACAATTCCACCAATTCTATACCGAAAACAAAAACAAACATTATGAAATATCTGAAAGAGGAAACTATGAGTGGAAACAGTAATTATGAGGCTTTATTCTGAAAACAAACAAAAAAAACGGTAGTGAAAAGAATTACTGTTTCACAAATTAATAATTTTATTTCACTCAAACAAAACATAAGATGATATAAACTAAATATGTAGATTTTGTCATGTCGTCATTTATCCGAATAAAATATAATGAAAATCTAAATCCATCCTTAATTTGTTTGTGTTTAAAACGAAATGAATACTCAGAAATTTGCAATAATAAACATTCAATATACATATATAATTCATTCGAAGTACATAACAAAAGACATTTGAGTTGTTTTATTAAGAATGTATTTTTTGGGAGGATTTTTTGTTATATGGCAATAAGCTAATGGAAATGTTGATCTTAATTATTTCAGAGATGAAATTCGAAACTTGGCCGGAAAATAAAGAAAAATTGGAATTAAAAAATTAGTACAAAAAACTTTACAACAGCAGGAAATTTGTTGTTGTAAGTTGCTGTACAAAAAACGATACAACAACCACATGGAAATTTGTTGTTGTAAGAGTGTCAACTCATTTGACAGAAAAATGTGCTCCTCAAAATAAAAATTACTGAGCCATTGCCATATAGAAAGTTTCATTCGAAGGGCAACTGACAATGAGCACATTCATGTTTGTTTGCAATTCATAATCGACCAATTATGAATGGCGAAGATACCACATGCACTTTTTTAAAGTGGGGTGTATGGATGTTTTTGACATTAACTTCACAAACGTGGATGCCGGAGGATTGGAACTATATTGTTTTCCTTCTCGGGACTGTTACACCTTTTCCCCATACCTCGAAATTCCCCAGTAAAATCTAATCTCAATTCCGTCTCTGATTTTGTTTTGAAAATATTTATGCCATAATGGCATAAAATGTCATTGAATACGGACGCAGTTCGTAAAAGAATTCTATTTATTAATTAAAAAATGTTTTTTTTACATAAAAATATTTAAAAGTACATCTATAATCATGTGTCTGGATGCTCTTTATCGTTTTCTGTAACATCATCTTTAGTTGCTGCTGTAGATGCCGAAGAAGACTCTACCAATATTGTATCCTTATTCAGCGGAGTTTCATCAGAGGAATTTGATTTAGCATCCTTCGTGCAATCATCGGCGTTATTGACACTGGGCGCATTATTTTCCACAGACTCGTTAGATGTTAATGTTGCTGGACTATCGTCATTTGCTTTATTGTCATTATCGTTGTCCTCACTACAGTCGCTTGATGTATTGCCATCGTCTTCATTGCTCTTCGTCGATTCACCGGGAGCTTTCTGTTGTCTAGGCTTTTTTGCCCGTTGCTTCTTCTTAAGGCGCTTTGCTCTCTTCTTTGCCGTTTTCTCTTCAGCTTTACGACGATTTTCTTCTATTTTTTGCTGATACTCATCGTCAAGTTGTTCTTGCAAACTTTTCTGTTGAATCATTTTTTGGCGAGCATACTCCTTGCGACGCAAATGCCGGTACACATGAAATTCTCCAGACCCGGCTCCAGCACTGGAACCCATAACATTTCGCACAAATGTGGGAACACTTGCCATATAGTCCTTTTCTTTGCGATGCTCAGGGATAATCACAGGTTTGTCCTATGGAAAAGAAATAAGTGTTAGCGTATTTCGTATACAGATCCTTGTTATTTGGGAAATTTAATTTCAATTTAATTTTTTAATTTCAATTTATTTTATAAACGAGAACCTAGCCCAATGGGCCATGAGCGATTCCAAAAACATTGTTTTAAGAAAATCTATCCTTACTCAAGGGTCTAGTAACTACAGATGATTGGTTATGGTACCCTTCTAATTCTCATTTGCAGCTAATGCAAATTTAGCAAGATACCGTAGAAATCGTTTATTACGACACCATTTATAACGAAATATCGGTTATAACGACCTATCCAAAAGTCCCTAGGAAAGTTCTACCATTTAAAACGACATATCACTTATTGCAACAAATTTTGCTGGTCACTGTCCCGGTGTTTTTAAGGCTATCAATAACACACAGATGCCAATAGAGACTATGCCAAGGACTTCATTGCATGCAGGAGCCACTTCATAACCCCATACCTCCGGAGTTAAGAACATCGATAATATTACAACTTAATCGTTGTGATCAGAGACCCAAGGCCCACATAGTATAATGGCTATACTTACAGGATTTTTCATTAGTTTTTCAAGTTTCAAACGTTGCAGATCTATAGCGGATTTGGAACAACTCTAGTTTAGTAAAAACGATCAAATTTTTCTGAAATTTTTTCCAGAGGTAGGTATTTTTACCCTAATTATGGGGATATCTTTTTTTCTTGGGGGACGTACCCGGTTACCCGGTTATTTGACCCGGAAGTTCGGGTACGGGTACCCGGTTATATCCGGTTCTACGGATCCGGTTAATATAATATGTGTATCATTTTAAAGGTTATAAAAATACCTTTCCATTGAGTGGTAATATGATGGGGTTATCTCAAACCATTTTAGGGATATAGTCAAAAAACTGGGTTTTGGTCCCCGATTTTTTTGAAAAACTCCCTAAAAGTCGAACTTGGGTCCATTATAGTCCCTCTCCAAACAGGACCCAAATGATAGACCACAATTTGCCCTTTCCAAAATGGTGCGATATGTGGCTGTATCTGTTGTGGATCAAAAGATATGGGCCTTAGAACCCTATAAAACAAGGAAAATCTTTCTACATGACAGAATCTCCTTTTAAATAGCATGGTGTTTTTTGGGTGACCGGCCTTCGGCCGGGGATTTAAGACTTTCTCCTATGGACAGATGCCAACACCGGCTAACGCGGCAGAAACTCCTTCTAAATATAATATTTTTTTTTGTAGCCGGCCTTCGGCCGGGTATTTAAGACTTTCTCCTATGGACAGATACCAACACCGGCTACGCGACAGAATCTCTTGTTAAATGGAATACTTTTTTGGGTGACCGGCCTTCGGCCGGGGATTTTAGCTTTCTCCTATGGACAGATGCCAACACCGGCTAACGCGGCAGAAAATTCTTCTAAATAGAATATTTTTTGTGTAACCGGCCTTCGGCCGGGGATTTAAGACTTTCTCCTATGGACAGCTACCAACACCGGCTACGCGACAGAATCTCTTGTTAAATGGAATATTTTTTTGGGTGACCGGCCTTCGGCCGGGGATTTAAGACTTTCTCCTATGGACAGATGCCAACACCGGCTAACGCGGCAGAAAATCCTTCTAAATAGAATATTTTTTGTGTAGCCGGCCTTCGGCCGGGGATTTAAGACTTTCTCCTATGGACAGATACCAACACCGGCTACGCGACAGAATTTTCTTGTTTTTGTAGGGTTCTAAGGCCCATATCTTTTGATCCACAACAGATACAGCCACATATCGCACCATTTTGGAAAGGGCAAATTGTGGTCTATCATTTGAGTTTGGGTTAGAGAGGTACTATAATGGGCCCAAGTTCGACTTTTAGGGAGTTTTTCAAAAAAATCGGGGACCAAAACCCAGTTTTTTTACTATATCTGCAAAATGGTTTGAGATAACCCCATCATATTACCACTCAATGGAAAGGTATTTTTATAACCTTTAAAATGATACCCATATTATATTAACCGGATCCGTAGAACCGGATATAACCGGGTACCCGTACCCGAACTTCCGGGTCAAATAACCGGGTAACCGGGTACGTCCCCCAAGAAAAAAAGATATCCCCATAATAAGGGTAAAAATACCTACCTCTGAAAAAAATTTCAGAAAAATCTGATCGTTTTTACTAAACTAGAGTTAAGCCGCGGATTTTATTATTGGCCTCGGCTTCTTTTCACCATCGCTATCATTGTCCGATTTCGAATCCTTCCTTTCGGGTTCCTTTACCAAATTCTTTATAAGTGACATTACAGCTTAAACGTTGTAAATTGATCAAATATTCCTGATTTTAAACAGTGAAGAGATTGCAAAGTATTAACTCCTCGGTGGCGTGGAGTGCTTTCGAATGAAAAAAAGAAAATAAGTACAATGCCGCTTCTAATGTTTTGACGGCGTTGTGGAATTGGACGAAATTGAGTCAAAACCTAACTGATAAAACCCAGAATCAAAACAAACACCGATTAGGATTGCTCAACAACAATATCAGCTGTTAATTCCCGAAGACCAGCTGGTGTTAGAGATTCCAAATGATACTCTAGAACCAGTTCACGAACGAACTAGTTCAAATGAACGATTCACTTAAAAGACCGATTGAACTAGGTCTTTCAAAGTCGTTCCTTTTAGTTCATTAAAATTTGAGCGTTTTACTGACCTAGTTCGATTTTCCTCTAAATGGAAGCGGCACCGATCGAGTTTTATTTTGCATGTGATATTTACAGCGATTTCATTTAGTAAACATATAAAATATGTTGCTTATTGTTTATGCTCGCAAGAAATTTTTCAATAATTCTGAAACTTTTCTTTAAAAATCCACACCTTATAGGTCCCCATAAACTGTTTTAAAATTGTTATATATAATATCCTTACCATAAATAAAAGTGAATTGTAAAATTGTTTTTATTCACACATCACAATCTTCCAAGAACACAACCTCCGAAGTAAAACGACAGCTGAATAAAAGGGCTAAGCAGAATGCTCGCGTTGAGCCATCCGTCGCCTTACATGTTATCGAAAATACAACAACCACAAGGAAACGATAACACAAACGCTCGAAGTTGATGTGCGCTGCGATAAAGGGCTAAGCAGAATGCTCGCGTTGAGCCATCCGTTGCTTTATGTGTTATCGAAAATACAACAACCACAAGGAAACGATAACACAAACGCTCGAATTTGTTGTGCGCTGCGCTTCGGAGTTAAATATATTTTAACTTTTTGCGTGCGTTAACGCGATAACAAAAAACGCTCAACGCGAACATTCTGTTTAGCCCTTAATGTCAACAATTTCGACTTTGTTTACGCTTTCTAATGGAAGTCAATTCAATAATAATACATTTTGATAGCAAACTTGAGAGGTATCGATTATCACCTGGTTACCCTGGGTGACCTTATTTATAGGCCATGCTCGCGTTGATCCATCCGTCGTGTTATATGTTGAATGAATAGGTAGTCCATTTACCGCAGCTGATGTCTTGATTAACTGTCAAAGTGGATAATTTCTACTTGAATTTGATATGCAGTGTTGCCAACCATTTGAAATATTATATGGAAAAAATTGACAGATAATCGAGACAAAAACAAAGGTTTTTGTTGGTATACATCACCTTATTATTGCATCATCGATTGGAGCATGATGCAATAATAAGGTAATGTATCAAAACAAAAACATTTGTTTTTGTCTCGACCATCTGTCAAATTTATCCTTATAATATTTCAAAAATGTGGCAGCATTGCACATCATATTCAAGTAGAAAATACGCACTTTGACAGTTAATCAAGACATCAGCTGTTCTAAATGGATTCATTGTGCCATGGATCGGAGCATGATGCAAAAACAAGGTGATGTATCAAAACAAAAAATCTTGTCTGTCAATTTTTTTCTTATAATATTTCATATGGTTGCAAACATTGCTCAACGAATTCAAGTAGAAATTACGCACTTTGACAGTTAATCGAGTCATCAGCTGCGCTAAATGGACTACCTATTCATTATGCCATGATCTCAGTAGTATCATGGTACAATTATACAAGGTAGGGTAGCTTTTATCAGAAAGATGGAATCCTGAAAATAGAAACTATTGGAATACAGGATTGAGGTAGCTTTAAAAAATCGTACTTATGAGTACAAAAAGTACTAAATAGATAGAGCTGGAGCCTTGAAATTGGGAATTAAAATTACTGTTTGAAAAGAAAATCAAATTTTTATTTAAACTGAATCAAATTTTTATTTGCGCCAAATCAAATTTTTATTTGCGCCAAATCAAATTTTTATTTGCGCCAAAATAAACAAACAAAAAAGGACAAACACAATTATTTGTATTACATTTAATATTAAAAATAAAATGAACAATGAAAGAAAAATTGATTTGGTATGTTCCCCGGGAACATGTAAGCTTCCTGCATCAATACATTGCTCTCTATCCGAACTTGCCTAAAATAAATATAAGGAATTAGTTTCTAATTTAATAAAACTTTGCATCTCTTACGAATTTTCTTCCATTTTCTGTAATTTGTATACATCTTAACTTCAAATTGAACTTTGCAAATTAAAAAAATGTTTTGAATAATTTTTGTGTTTGGTCATAAAACAGCTGATCAAAAAATGCTGAGTTTGCAAAATCTTACTGAATAAAATTCTTTCAGTAAACTCCAGTAAGTTTGTTGTTGTTCAACTGTCAAACTTGCTCTCTCACTTGACTCTCTTTTACTCGGTTTTTGTGTAAACAGACAACATTTAGAAAAATTTGGTAACAATTGTTACCAAATATCGAGTAAACCGACATTCAAATTTATAAATTGTGCTAATAAGACGCAGTAAAATAGAAATATATTAATAAAAATGGATGATAAAAAAATTGGATGTGAATTTTTAATAATAATAATCAAAAATAGGCTTCGAATTTTATAGGTTTCTTAATGAAATCTCGGTCTCACAATTTTTTGTGAGATTTTTGTTGACCATTATGTGGA